TGTTCAAACATATCTACAACTTTAAATTTTGCTCTGAGATTTTAATTTTCATTCCTTCATATTTTCCACTAGTTATCAGCCTTATTACATTTAAATAATCATATCAATAAAAAAAACAATCGAAGACTTACTGAAAATAAAAGACTGACAAAAAATAATTAATGTCCTTAACAATGTGGAGAGTTAGACTCTTTGAAACAAATGTATATTGCCAACAAGCACAAAATATCCATATATATAGTATATTTCTATGCATTTGGGATGTTATAGCCCTTTGAGTAAAATTACACTTTGAAAATGTTTTAAATATCAAAATTATTTTATTACTTTAATGTGTTCAAATTGAATGTTAGGCTTAATTGTAGAGAAGACTTTTAAAAATATATATGATTAAGTAAATTCTTTCTTCAAAGGGTATGTAGATAGTGTATGCATTACAAAATTATTTCTTGGATTAAATAAGTAGGATGAAGTGTAGTCCCTGAGTCACGCAATGAGAAACCCATGTAAAAGCAGCCATCCTGAGTGACGTCAGTGTGCTGTTGTGTCTCTAAGTCTGGTTATAATTGCAGGTGAAACCTTAACCCTATGCTGCCCAACTCCACCTAACACGGCCTCTTTCTACACCCTGAAACCTATAAAGACAGAATAAACAAACATTTTCACAAGACAAGGAAGAGTTTGAATAAACAGCATATTATTTAATAAGTTGACCACTATATCAACAGGTACTTACTCTTCTAGGTTTTTTATTTATTGGAATTAAATGAAAATATTCATTATGAATCAGCCATCATGTTATGGACCAAACTTTTCTGTAGAGAATTTAATATTCAACTCTGAGTCATCACGTGTTTAATGAATTTCTATGTTTAATGAATTCCTATGTTACGTGAGTGCCTACATAAAGAAAGATGTGTTCCTGCCATCAGGGAGTTTTCCCTTATTCTTTAAAAAATATTCTTCTGTCTTATGAATTTTTCCCAAAGAAGTTATTCAACTGACACAAAAAGAAACATGCTCTAAGACTACGTACTCATGTCTACTAAAAGCGTGTTGTTAGCAATCTAAGAGTTTAACTTTAGAGAATTGGCAAGTCATTAGGCATCCACATATAGAATACTATGCACCCATTTGAATATGAAGACCGTTGAAACAAGGCATACATTCATGAATATGTGAAACAAAGGCAATATAAAATAAAATGGACCCTGTCTGTACATTTCTGCTAATCATATGTACATGAATGACCTGGGAAAGAAGAAGCTGTATTAGAGCAGTAAGAGAAGAAAAAGCTTTTAAGCATATGAGAGTGTCATTTTAAAACAGAATCTTAGCTTGCAATAGAGTTTCTCAAAATATAACTTTTCTTGAATCATTTTAGTATGTCTATTACTATTTTATATTTACATGATGAATATAAAACATGGAGAACTTTTGAGAATAAAACACTTCTCACTCTTTAATGTTAGTATTGATAATATATTGATGACTTAGCTAAGAAACTTCCAAATTAAAAGGTTAGTATTCTTGTGAACTCAAAGGGCTCATTGGAACAAAAACTTCTGGACTCCCATCAGAGCTATTCATTTTTAACATATTTTATTATATTGGAATTGCATATTTATTACACCTTAAACTGTAACATTACTTATAATACCTAGACTCCTGCCCTTTCTATAATCTAAATTCACTGCAATTATACATGAAATTTCCTAATTCTAGCCCATTCTCATTTTTCTGAGAAAAGGTTGATCCTTGACCTTCTATTCTATAAGATGTATTTAAAACGTGAGCTGCAGGTTTTGCTGTAATATTTCTCAGGTGGGCAGTATTCACTAATCACCAAATAGCACAAATTTCTACATGGTCAGCACATAGCAAACTAAATTTATCACTGTACATGTTTGATAAGAAAGAGCATTTATTGTTTATTAGGCAATATTCCGGAGAATTCATGTAAGGATAATGGTCCCAGAAGCCCTCGAAGCCAGAAAATAGCAACATTTTTCAACTTCCTTAGAAGATAAGGTGAAAGAAAAGTTATTGCACCATGGCTGTGAACAATGAGGGGACCTTGACCTTACTAAATCAACTGCCAAGGCAGTCATATAAAGGCCAAAGAGTAACTAGGTCACTGAAGATCTGTGGAGAGAAAGGGAATTATGGTATTGAAACATTCTGGAAGCAAATAGTAGATGCTTTTCAACAAGGGAGAGACGCCATTTAAGTCATTTAATATACAGAGTGTCCTTTCATGACTTTTCTGTCCTAAGGACATAAAATTAGCAAGTTACATTTCTACTCACCAATTATATGAAATTGTGAAATTTCAAGAGTTATTCCAGTGTCATCTCAGGAGAGAAAAGTAGAAGCCATCTGACTATGTCGGTGCATGAGAATGGCATAGGAGTATAAAGGAAAAGTCACTTTAATACATTCTTTTAATTTTGTTCAGTTTCAACAAACTACTTTGACAAGCATTTAAAAGGTATGAGAGTCATGTTGTTTTGAAATAGGACAGTTTTCTAACATGTGTGGGTTTATTTATGTTAATAAGCAATAAGGATATCCTGGTCATTTTTATATTTATCCTTGGTCAGCTAAGTATGATATATTCCATGAAACTGGTCAAATAATTTAGAAAAATAATGTAGAAACTATTCTGAATTCTCTTAGATATTTACAGTGCACGTTAGAGCAGTGAAGACTCTGAAAAACGCTACAACTTAAAAATGTGCTTCAGTCTTCATGGAGACCTTTATTATTTTGTATTTTACATGTGAATTTTTATTTGACAATATTCATTAACATAAACACCTCTAGGAAACTGAATAAATACAGCAACAATTCAAGTATTTGTTGGCAGATGCTGTGATAAATGTCCAATCTTTGAACATGACCGATCTTTGTTTTAGGTAAACTCATGAATCATTTTGATGTTAATTAGAATGAAACAGCCCACAATCAAATAGCATTGCAATCTGCAGTACAGGAGAAAACAATGCAGCTTAACGGCTTCCAAATAGGAAATGTAATAGAATTGAGTAGTGTTTAAAAGGAGAGAAGTCACTGTTAAGGATAACCAGACCCAATATGGAGTACTGTGTAATCAATCACAAGGTATACGCATTTAATTTAATTGCAATCGTATGTAAAGAGTACACCCTCACCCTGTCATCTCTGTTCAGCGCATCGCCACCTTCAACTAGACCTCAGTTTAGAAAAAGGCGATCAATGTGGTAATAAAAGGAAAACCAAATAAATGAATTCTTGGCCTTTACTTAGGACCTTTGTGCTGAATTCCAAGGGGCAGCCTTCAGAATCTTCAGGAGTTATACCATGTACAACTTGTGCTCCTAAAAGCCTGGGGAGCTGGTGATTTTAGGGTGATTTAAAGGACTTTTAAGAGTAATTTTGATGGTTAGGAAATTTCAGTTTTTACCTTAAGTATTAACCTTAGGACCCAATTCTCATGTTAATAGTAGAACCATACCAGGTTATATAGCATGTATATGCCCTTCTGCTTCACAGTGGGGAAACTGTTACTTCACAAGGCTTAATCATCTGTGCCCAGTGCTTATCAATTGCTAGTTAAAGCTGAAGTAGTTCAAATGTGAACAGTAAAAACATTTTGATAAAACAGTCCAAATATGAACATTAAAATCTATGGTTCTGATTGTCTCCTTCATTCTTTAACTTTATGAAACTTTAAAAAGCAAAGTAAATGAAAGTTGGACTAACTTCAATAGTCTAATAAAAATAACTAAATGATTCTCTTCTAATAAGGAAGTTTTTCATTACTTAGAATATATTGTTTTAACTCAAACACTAAACTTTTCTTAAAGGTTGTTACTGCTTTACTAGTTAATATAAATTACAGAGCTAAGAATTCTTTAAATGATGTATTTATTTCCCTAGAGTTTAGTAACACATTCACATACTATAAAAGCACTTTTACGACCAAGTGTTTTTTTAAAACATGCAAAATTAATGTGTATTTTTATGTAATTATGTAAAGAAACGAATACGATTTATTGTCAGAATGGCTTACATACACAATTCTGAGTTACTTTTACCATAATTTCTAAGATTTATTCTGTTTTTATTCTCTCTAACTTAAGCTATTATATATATTTCATACATATTGCATATAAATACATGTATGTATGTATATATAAGCACATGTGTACCCTAGCCTTTCCAAAGTAATACCTTTATACTGCCCTTTGCATCAGATTTGAGAGACAAAAATAAAGATTGCTCTATCACTGCCTTTAAGATCCATTTTCTTGTTCATCCAACCTAACATTGATTTTGCGTTGTTTTGTGCCTTATTAGTATCTGTGTTTTGGGGACATTACCTTCTGTTTGTATGTGTGTAAATCTTATTCATGCAACTGAACTCTATGACACAAAAATTACATTTTAACAACAGTTACATTACTATTGAATGTTTGAGAACAAATAAATGGAAGTTTGATCAATGAATTCACCAGAAGAAGGAGAAGAATAATCACAGCAAATGTAGAAAAGGACATGGATTCAGGGGTAGGTCAGAATGGGGAAGAGTGAACATCCTGTGGCTAGTTACCCTCCTTGTGGGGATAGGGAATGAGCTAATCCTTAAGTTTCAAAACAGAATTTTATGCAAGAGAAAAAATAATAATAATAACAAGGGAGCTGGCAAGATGTTGAGTTCTCTCAAGATCCATCAAATAAAAATTCAAAAGAAAAAAAAGATCAGCATAAGGCCCAGTACTAGCAAAAAGCACAAAAAGGCAAAAGTGTTCCATAAGTGCCTGATTTGATAAACAATTTTTTTAAAGTGACTTATTTGAGTAGGATAGAAAATCAGAGACTTTTAAATGGAGAATAAAAACATTAGATTTAAGAATATTGTAAAAGGAAAAAGAAAATTCCATGATTCCTGCTTTATTTGGCCTTTAAATGCTCTCCATGTTTTGTTCTGTTTTGTTTTTTGTTTTGTTTTCTTACAGAATGCCAGAGTCCCCTGGTGAAGTTACCGAATATCCTTTGTTTGTCACGGTTGGTGATTGGCTAGATTCTATAAAGATGGGGCAATACAAGAATAACTTCATGGCAGCAGGATTTACAACTTTTGACCTGATTTCAAGAATGAGCATTGAGTAAGTGATACTAGGGTTATTAAGGTAACTAGATGCCCTGCTGGGGATTATAAGTTCAAATGCTATATTAAAACACCTTTGTTTAGGCTAGGAGGTAATTTCCAAGTCTTTTCCTCACATTTCTGACTATCATTCTAGTGGAAGTTGGACACTACACTTTTAACTATTATTCTTTGAAAGAATATATTTAATTCAAATAGCTATTTAAAATATTTTAAATGTTTTCTGAAATGCATATTACTGTCATCCAATTCATAGGCTTTATGTTAATTTTACCTTGGCAAATTATTATTCACATATACTAATATTGCATAATCAATTTCTATTACTTTCACCAAATTAACGCAATATTTTGTTATTTTCAGAGCTCCTTCTAGATATTATAATGATCAACCATTTTCTACTGTCTCAAAGATTGTCCTTTGCCTACGTGCAATGAAAATGCTTAATGTGTGCTTAAAAGACTAAACGGTTGGGTTGAACCATATTAAACTGCCATTATTTTAAGACACTAATGGCAGTTACATATAGTACAACGTAAGGGCATTTTTTCCAGATTATCAAAAATCCATGAGAAATCAAATGGAGTTCACATTATACCTTCCATTCTACATACTCACCGTTTTGCTAATGTTGTTGCAAATGTATATCATGACCTAAATTATACAGGTGTAGGCCTATGAAATATCTGAATATTGCATAAGTACCTGTGTATGAAATGGAAAAATATAGATTGTTACATATGAGATTATGCATTCTGTGGATCCAGAGAAAAGGAAAAAAGGTAATAAACTTCTGCTGCTCATTTAGATCTCTGCTTAACAAGTAAGCTACACCATTTTTGGCCACTGTGGCAGGGTGCTTATTTAATGCATCTAAATAGTCATTTTATCTCACATGCTTATCAGATCTAAATGTTCATATTCTCTCTCTCTCCCTTTCTCTCTCTTCCTCTCTCGCTCTCTCGATCTCTCAGTGACATTAGAAGAATTGGAGTCATACTCATTGGACACCAGAGACGCATAGTCAGCAGTATACAGACTTTACGTTTACACATGATGCACATACAGGAGAAGGGATTTCATGTATGAAAGTACCACAAGCACCTGTGTTTTGTGCCTCAGCATTTCTAAAATGAACGATAGCCTCTCTACTTCCCTCTCTTCTGATTCTCCAAACATTGCTTCACAAACTGCAGTCTTCTGTTCAGACTATAGGCACACAACTTATGTTTATGCTTCCAACCAGGATTTTAAAATCATGCTACATAAATCCTCTATGAATAACCTACAAATAAAACCCTGGTCCACTGAAGATTATTGCTACGCAATGGTAAATAACTCAGCATGGATGTGTAATTTTGTATAAGCAGTATATGGGAAGTGTTCACGGACTTCACCTAAAGGAATTTATCCAGTTGGGGCTTCCTTAGTGATGTATGTAGAGTGTGATGGTAGATGAGAACGAACTAGTTGACCTTTCTTTCAGGTTTTGTGATCAAGTAGCTTCCAAACTGACATAAATGTTTGGTTTTTAGATAATTATATTCAGCTCTATTGGTTGTATTGTTACTTTTTTTTAATAGTTTTACAGTTGGTGCCTGATATTATTAGAATTGTTTGCAGAGATGACCAGTGATATCATGTAATGAATTTTTGTGAGGTATGACTATGGTGAGAAGGGGGCTGTTAGGGAGGGAGGAAAAAATACTGTGTTTTTAAATCTTCTGAGCCTGGGTTTGTCAATTTTTTAAAAATTAACTTTATAGTGTCATACATATTTCATAATAGGTGGTCGTATAAAGGCTTTTCACCTCTAATTTTATTTATTTTTATTTTTTTACTAACTGTAGTATTTTTCTCTACTACCTTATGAAGACCGCCCATGGAAAGACCAAGAGTGACTTCATCGATCTAATGGTTTTCATAGAGGAAAGCTTGGGATAAAGCCATGACTTTTCCCTTTGTGCATTGTCACAAGTTTGCAAAAGTAATTATCAAGGCACTGAGGAAATGAGTCATTCTCAGTAGAATTGCTTTGGATAAAATACATAATTATACCCTTAGATTTAATGTAAAAATATTAATTAATTTAATATAAACAGAACTTTAGGATAGATACATGGTGGCCCAAGAAAATAAACATACCTAGCTGACCATTTGGTATTGGTGCGTTTTGCAAGTTTAAGCATTCTTATGTTTTCTTTGCAAAAATAAGTTACATGAACAAGTATGAATACTCCAAAGAGTATATAAATAGATCTTACACATGAACATAATGTGTCAACCTGGGTCCATCATACAATAACATAAAAATGAGAACACAGCTAAGGTGTGGTGTTGTCATAATCTTCTGAGAGGCTATAAAAAAAGGTGAATATGTTTTTAAGTGATTTAAGCTGAGTCCGCTTATCAAAATAGTGCTATATCTTATGAACAAATTAAATTATAAAATCAGCGCCTCCCTGTAAAACTAAAAAAATGTCTACTGTTTTAGGTGGAAGAGTAAGTAAAATGTGTTGAAAGGAAAAGAGTAGATTGTCTAATGCTGATTTAATAAATTAGCTTTTATTGGATCTCAGATATAATGGTGCCCTACCCACATTCTCAAATTCCTATCTAAATTCCTTTTTCTTGGTCATAGTAGTGTTTTTGTTTTATAAAGGAGCCTAACTTTTTCTTATATTTAGATTTTGTTGATTGTCCCATTATACTAGACCCTTCTGCATATTTTCTTTTGCTGACTTATCTCCTGGCTTTTGCCTACCACAGCTTAATCCTTCTCATTTCAAAACAAATGTGTACAGCTAGGAGGAAGAGTCTTTAGATATTTCTTATAATACACAAAAAAGGTAGGAGGGATGGGAAATCCATCACTTTTTATGTATGTGTGCCAGATATAGCTAGCCACATTTTCCAGCCATCAACCTACATGGTTGTGCATCACTCATAGACTCTCTGCAGTTTGCTTGATCCATTTACACAAATCTGGATACATTTAGAAGAAATATAAAATTTCCATATTTACCTATCTTCAAATATATATTAAATAAGAACAGATGTAAAACAGATTAAATTTATTAATCATATATTTATTTTTATAATACAAAAAAGGTATTTAGAAAAATAAGGAATAGAATAATATGGTCTTCCACAGGACTCTGTCAGCACCATCTGTGTACCTTGAAATAAATTCTATTAAATTATTTACACTTCTATGGGATGAGCATTCAGTGATTGCAAGGTTAAAGTTCTCTGTTAAGAATTTTTTTTCTTTAAAATGCCTGATGATCCTGTTTTACATCTGGTTAATTTGTACTTCTTTTTTTCTTTCTCTAGCATCTTTTTATATATCATAAAATGACATTTTTGCTTTGTCATGTCATGCCTCCTTCAAAATTCCTTTTAAATTACATTTTTATTTTTCAGAACTGTAAGCATGATAATCTTAAATGTAACTTTGAACTTCATCATGGTTACAGCAAGATTGAAACATGTGTGCCAGATTAAACAGAAACATTAAAATATAAGGATATCTATTTATTTACTGCCTACTAGTCATAGACCCCATGATCCCAGGAGTATTACCATATCCAGGAATATTAACAGTTAAAATGCCAAATTCATTTGAAAATTTTATATGAAACGAAATCTGTTTTAATATGCAAAGCATAAAACTTAATTATAAAAAGAAAATAAGTAATTTCCATGAATCACAAATCTTCAGGAATAATCTTTGATACCTAAAATATGCATATAGGCTCATATACCTACTTTATTTTCAATGGCTTCATCTATGCTAATGAGGGAGTGTTTTGGATTTTAAAACCAGACAGTCAAAAATCATTTTCATTTTATTTTCTAAATGATCAATTTTCAGTCTAGAGTGAACTCCTTATCTCATAATATAAGTCATATTTGGAAAAAAATATAAAAACAATGTACCATCAAGGAGCAAGATAAGGTATTTAAATCATTCAAAAAAGCAATCAAATTGCAAACTTCTTGTGGTTTAACACAAATCAAGACTTACAGCACTTCTGCACTGAGTTACAACTGGTGATAAATGTTCTACATTCCATAATCAAAATAAGACATCTTATTTCACTCTGCATCACTCTTTAAAATCTATCAAAGTATAACCTGAATAAAAATGCCTTCTAGCAACAGCTTTAAAACTTAGCCCATGAATGGAAAACAAATCCAAATCTGATCCTTGAAAAACAAAGGCCCTAAAGAAAGTCTTCAGAAGAGATGGTGAAGAATGAATTATTTTACGTATCACCCAACCACATTTCCTAAAAATGTATTTTGGTGTCTTCTCCTGCCAGATTTCTGCTCTGCAAGGCAGTCAGTTAAACCTCATCTCATAATTTTCGCTGAGTTAGTTCTTTCTTTTCACCTCTTTTATTAAATTTTCAAAGACTTCTCAGCCCTGTTTTTAATCCCCAGCCTGTCTTTTTATTCCTCTCGGCTTCTATCACATCACACGTTATCCCCATCAGCATAAGAAAGGTAGCACAACAAATCTGAAAAGATTGTGTAGATCTCCTTCAAAGGGGCTTGGGGCAGGGAGATGTTGAAAAATCTTTAATATTTTGGGTTCTATTACATAATTGAAAACATTTACACTTACAGAGGATATGGATTCTGGCTGTTCCTTAACTTGAAATCAAGTTCTTTGGAAAGTAATTCTGAAATGGATCATGATGATGGTCCTTTTCAGTTGCTTTAACTAAGGAAGTTTATAATTAATTTTTAAAAATTAGTATCTTAAGATCAATATCCGTTATTATAAACTCACAGTTGGTCCATGTCTTTATAGATCAGAGATTAGAAGCAAAGTATCACTTCTTGCAGTAGGAGCATCTTAACATTTCCCATCTCCAATTCCGTGAAGTAGAAGAGACTCATATTACTTTATATTGAATCACAAGACATTTTGATATTTTTAAATATGAAGACTCCAAAAGGTAGAGGAGTACACTGGGTTACATTGATGGTATTCTTCCACAAGAACACAAGGCACTGAAGTCACCTCATTTTTGGTTCTTATGAGCAACGCTCTCAAAAATTTTTCAATCTTTATAATGTTACACAAAGACAATACAGGTTCAGCTTAACAGATATCTATGGAACGTCTCCTATATGCACCAAATTATACTACAAAGATAAGTTTGGTTGTGCTGTCCTTGCCTTCAGGTAACTCTCATTATTATAATTTAGAGCTTTATTTGCTATGTTTGCTATGGTTGCCATGTCAATAGGGGATAGTACTTTCCATAGAATATAAAGAAATAAATAGGAACTTCCTCCAGTGGGAATTGGATTTGCAATTTTTTTGGACTTAAAATTCTCATAGTATTCTTCCCAAACACCCCATAATCCCTGCTGGTTTCTCTAAAACAGTTTTTCTCAGCAGAAGTCACAGATTTTTATTGTCTAGTGGCATACCTATCAGTTTGTATATGGATTCGCTACCTCAAAGGTGCCTCCTGTTAAAAAACATTAGCTTTTTTTCAAGAGCAATTCTGGAGTAATCTCCTGTTCAAGCTTATTCACTGGCTCTAGGCAACATGATGATAAGTATGAACTGCAATGGTAGTGTAAAATCCTCTCAAACTCCATTCATTTAACAAGGGAAATAGCTGATTACCCCTGACTATAACATATTAGTAAGTGAAATGATAGAAACATCTTATATTGTGTAAAAGTAAACACCCCATCTTTTTCTTACTGTTAACTTTAAAAAAAGTATTGATGAGATGTTTCAAAAATTTCCCAGAATAAAAATTAACTTTTTTTGTTATAAGTAGATGTGGCACAATATACATATATCTGAGGAAATAATTAAAAGATCCAGAAAAAGGTATTGGTCATCAAAATGTAGTTTTAACAAATCATCTTTTTCTGAGTAGTAAATTATCTTCAAATTGACAATGAGTTTATATAAAATGTATAAAAAAGAACATTTATATCTTAATGGAAAGATCTGGGTTCTTTCCTCTTAATTCAAAAGAGTTTTTGTTTTATTAGCATTTGCTTTTTTGAGAGTTTAGAATATATTTGGAACTTCTTTAGCTTACCAGTATCAATCCAAATTACATTTTTAAATCAGAAAAAAAGAGAGAAAACTTTTCAATTACTAAGGAAGGCAAAGCACTATGAAATGAATAAACTTTACCTTTTAAAAAGGAATCTGCCAACTACAAAGTTTGTGTATCTCAGTGACATCAAGTGATTTTTTGCAGTGCCCCATTGAAAGCAGTTTCCTTTTAAACAAAACATGGAAAGGCTCTTGCTTCAGTTTTCACACTGACTAATCTGAGTACCAAATCTCTACATCATTAAGAGAACTTTTGATTTGTTTCATTATAGAGAAAGTCTCAAAGAATTCCATTACCCTTAGACACAACTAATTCATTCTTAAGAATAACAAAGGTATCAAAGAAAAATCACCTGACAGATGAGGAGGAAAGATAGCTCTTCAACGTTAAAAAAAGATGTGGCTTCTACTTTGATTAAAATAAAGTATAAATTAACAACACAATCTTCTCAGGAGTTGTAAGTTAGAAAAATATCAGAATTAGTGAAAATCTTCCCTAAAGTAAAACTCTATTATTACCTGTATTTTCTGCATTATTTGTAATCTCTGGCCATTTTTAATCTGTCATAATAAACTCATTTTTGGTTAGATAATAAGTTATCATCTCAACAAATCAGAACCACTGAGGTATAACTATAGATAGAATATTCTACAAAATAATAAAAGGAAGACAACTCTAATTCAGGATTCCTATTGAGTTAGCAACAGAGTCTCTATCTCATTATCCATCATTGAAATGAAAACTATCTTTATCCCAAAATAATACATTGTTACAGAGAGAACTCCAAGGATATGAGAATCGTTTTCCATACATTCCATTCAACTTGTATATCTAGGTATTAATAACTGAAGAGAGATACCTTTGTTTCTGAGTTAAATATGAGCTTACACGAGAAGCAAACTGATGTAAACATTTCTCTACAAGTTGTTCCATATTTGTAGATCAACCTTAGAACAGTCTTAATTTGTCTGTGTTCTATAAAGACTCAATATCATTTAATTTTTCAAAATCATGATAGGGAGAAGAATGTTAATTTGTAAAGATGAGCAAACACCACACTTTTAAGATCTTTACCTTATTTAATATTTCCTCTTCCACTATTTTTATAATTAAAAACCTCTTTCCTACATTTAGTAATTTGTAGGATGAACTGTATGCATTTAGATAGAAATCGCTTTTATTAAATTTTCATTTAAACACATCTTCATTCACTTAATCAGAGAAGCCATAATACAATTCTTAATATTAGCTCATTTTTCAAAGTAGTAACTTTTGCTATCTTTAGAATTCTCATCTACCCAGTAATATAATTACTAAAGTCATGAAGAAGTTTTTCTTTGTGCATGCTTTATTGATTATCATATTGTTTTTGTCTTTAAGTCGGCTCAAAATTGTAGTCTTTAGAAGTTCTATAACAAAAATCAATGGCCAATAATTTGCTAACAAATTTGTAACTGAACAAGCTATTTTTTTCTGTCAATGTGACTGATGTGTGCATTGTTAAATTTAACTGTTTAAATATTCATTGGTATATTATCTAGGGTTATTACTGCAATATCCTCATAGAATCTTTAAGATAATGCTGACTATCATATACAGTTAATAAACAATCATTGGGGCTTTTTAAAATTGCTGCGCTGCATGGAAAGTAAGTTTTAATGTATATAACTGTTTGTCATTGAAGTTTGGAATTTATTTTAATGTACTCTTTCTTCCCATGCCAGATATGTCTTTGAAGAAAACTGTATTAATATATTCATACTATGCAAAACTCTCATTTTGTTTTGACCAAACAAAATGTAGCTTTGATAAAATTTTATGATTTTTAGGCCTCTTAGATTAAAAAAAATCAAAATGTGAAATGGGAGCATTTTTCAGGGGGAGTAGGACACAATACCTGAGCAGTGTTCACAAATATGAATATGAGTAACACTTGATGGAAAAGATTACTGTATGTTATTGATTTTGGACACATTATTATTCATTTTGTTAATCACATTTGACCTTGGATTGTGACACTGAAAAAACTTGAATATATATGGGAGATAAATATCTTTGGGACATTTTACATAAATTATACTTACTTTTAATTTTGTATGCAGTGAAAACTTTGACAGTTTAATTTTGAATTTTGAAGGAAGAATTTTTAACAGTCCGTGTTTCCTAAAATGTTAATTATGGTATATTTGCTATAGTAACCTCATTTTTTGAAAAATCAGAGGCAAAACAAGAATGCAGAACTTGGCAACAAACTAAGTTCCACTAAAATTAAGGAAAACACTAAACAGTAATACAGTACAAAGAGGAGTTTGTTTTAAAATTGTTATTCATTTTAAAAACTGCTAGAAAAGAATGAATAAAAATTATGTCAGAGTATTCTTACTGATAATTTTGAAACTAAAGTTCATTTCAAGGATGGGAATCTCTAATATAAATCAGTACACTAATAGGTGTTAAAATATGTATTCATATATAAAATTAGAAAGAAATCTCATCAAAATATCAAAATAGGAAAAAGTTTATTTTCAAAATGCTTTGTAATAGAACAAGTCATCAAAATTCATAACATTTCCATATTAATCCTTTGTTTTCCAAATATATATAATCAAATAATTTGTCAAAAATTCAAACAATAATACATTGAATATTGGACTGTCATAGCACTTTAGACATGTTAATAAATTATCCCATGGATAATAAAGAGAATTTTTCCTGCCATTATTAAATGTAAAAATTGTATATATAAGATGTATAAAAAGGAACTTACTTGAAAGCATCCTTTAGCATCAATTTATCCTGATTTTAAGCACTGTATTAATTGTATACATACTCTTAAGTGCTTAAAAATATAGTATTTACATATTAATTTTGTGATATATTTTGATCTTTAAATGTTTATATTCTTTCAAGAAGACTGCCTTCTCTTTCCAGGTGTTTTAAGTATTTTAAAAAAGAGCCACCGTATTTTTTATATTTCAATTCAGTCTCATAAGGCTTGTAAGTTTCCAACTCTCAAAGAAGTTGAAACCAAGTGTTATAGCACAGTGGCTAGAAGTTATTCTTTTTGAAGTTATTCTTCTTTTATTTAATATTAGTCTGATATACCCTAAATTTTGCTAGAGAAGGTGTTTTCCCATGAAAGGAAATACAAAATGAAAATCCTCCATTGGATGCTATAAATTCAAAAAAAGAACATACATTTTTTATAATTACTTATCACTACTTACTGCTTATTCAGTTTTTAAAATTTTACCAAATATGATGCTTCAAACACGAGGGAAAAGCCACTGTATTTACACGTATTTGCTTATTTTCTTCAGAGTTTCCAAAAACCTTTTCATCTTACAACCTTGATCACTCTACCATTAAATGCAGTAATAAGGTATCTATTATATAACAACTAAAAACATCAGTCAAAGTTTAGTGTTACTCTCTTTAAACTATGTAACAAATATAACCACAGCAACAACAAATTAAAGGAGATCATGTCTATTTACTGGTCCAAAATTGTATAAATCCTAAATTTTATAATATATATATA